TTGCCTTTCCTTTTTAATTCATAAAGACACAATAAATGTGCTTGATTATGTCATGATTAATTCAATTTGGTTACCATCATATGTTAAACATATGTAAATGGTGTTTAATTTAAGTAATTGAATATATTGGTGATTAAATATAGTTACATTTATATATTGTTGTTTGAAAAAAATTTAATTTATACATCTATTATGTTGACGATTTGATATTTATCATCATTCCCAATTATACAGGTAAAATCATCATCTACTTATATCCAGACAGTTGAATAAGTTAATAAGACAGTTGAATAAGTTAATAAAATAGACATTCTTAATGTATATGACACTTTATCCACACTCGTTTGTGAGAGTTCAAACCCTAAAAATGGCATATGCATTTTGGATTGTGTCTTTTTTTTGTATTTTCTTTTATTATAAAGTTGTCTTGCTCTTTTATTAAAAAAAATTATAAATGTGCTGGGCCTGTCATAAGGTACAAACATAGGGGCTTTTTTTTCTTATCTTGTTGTAGGCATGGAATACCAATAGACCGACCCTGCTGGCTATAAGATTTAACATCCTTGTGTTAATCTTTCATCATTGATATAATGTAGATCCAATATTAATTTATCATGATATTTACTAATACTAATCACACACTAATTACTTCATAATTATTATTCCAGTTTCAATAATTCAAGACTAATCATGATGTACTTTATGGAGTACGTAATGACAATTTGCATCATGATCATATATCAATAGCCCTCGATTAAAACATGTTAATATGCCCTAATAACATGTTAATTTCTATCTTTGAGTAATTATCCTATGATAATTTGAAACTTGTAAATAAGTGCTTAAGTAGGGTTCATGTGAACTTTCATGATTTTGAAATTGATCCATACAAATGAAAATGATTGGGGTGTTACCTTGTTTTTTCCTTTAATAATCATAATCCCTTTGATTTGATCTTAAATTTGGATTAAGAGCATTCACCTAGTTTTCTCAGCAAGAGCACACATACATGACTTTAGGAAGTGTTTTTTTTAATTAAACGAACTGAAACCGGGCAGCAATAAGGTTAATTAGGTAGTTAAATGAGGTCAGCGTGGTACACATAGCATATGAACATGTAGGTAAGCCTTGGAATTTTGAAATAACCTCTAAAGTTAGCACCTTGGAATTTTGAAATAACCCATAACTTATGAATGAATTGTCTTTTAACTTTGCAAACTCATAATTTGCTCATTGTTTTACCAATTAAGTTGATTCATTTTTCATTGTTTAGTATTATACGTCCTCTTTCAATTTCAACCTTGTTTGTTCCTTAACACCTTCGTTTGATTAGCCTCCCATTGCTCCAAATTTAATACTTTCATTATTTCAAGTAAATTTTAATTTTTCACAATTCTTCTCATTTTACCCTCATTTCCATGAAACTCATTTCTAATAAATTATATGACTTATAATAACATATATAAAGGTAATAACAATCATACTTTCTTATTTTTGTCGCTTTTGACCAAATTACACTTTTTGTAGTATTACACATATATAAGACTAGAATTTTCATTCCATTTCATATCAACCATTTATGACACCACTAGAACATAACCTATTTTTTGGTGCGGTAGGGTTTTTTTGGTGCGGTGGTAGCCTAAAACTTTTTGGTGTGATAGGGTTTTTTTTGGTGCCGTTGTAGCTAAACCGTACTAGTAAACGAATTTTGCATCAGTACACCAACCAACCACACCATTTAAAGCATTTATCGTTGCCGTTCCTATAACCGCAATAAAAAGCATTAAAAGCGTATTTATTGGTGCATTAGATCATTATCACACCATTTTATCATAGAAACCGCACCAAAAAATCATGTAATCATCCCTCTAAAAGTTTCATTCAAAACTTTCATTTCGCGCTAGTTCCCTCCGTATGTATAGATAGCATTCCCAAATCTTCCCTCTTAATTCTAATATTTCATTCAAGCTTAGGCAGACAAGCTCTAGTCACCACGACCATTCGTTTACCAACATTTGAAGCACCATCACTACCACCCTCATCACTATATTCCGTCTGGTTCATGTTGTAAGTTAGTTGTTTTTTTTATATCTGTCTACTGAATTAAGTCTTACACTTTGGTTAAATGTAAGATGGGAAGTGTTTTAGCATTTTTCGAGTTATAACCCAACAATATTGTTAATGATCCAGAAGTCGGGGAACCAAATGAAATCCTTTATTATGTCTATCTTTTCGTTACTAGTTTTTTGTGGTTAAAAATCTTATCATATGAACTAATGTTTTGGAGGTGAAAATGATGGATCCAGTGTAGGAGCATATTCAAAGCCAAAAGAGTCACCGGCTAGTAATGATGTCCTTTCTCATTTGGGTGGTAAAAGTAAAACATCCATAAAACATGAAACATATTCGAGTAGCCACCTCTGTTGCATTGATCTAAGGTCAAACACAATGACGCCATTCTAAATCTTTTGAGATCGTGAAGAGTATCGTCTATGGAGGCTTAATGGAGGTGATTGCAAGTTTAATTGGTGCGGTTATAAAAGGTGTGGTTCCATACTCACACTAGTTAATCATGTTAACCACATAAACAAATGCTTTCTGTAATAGTGCAGCTAACTTTTACAAAAAGAAAAAAAAAAAAAAAAAAAGCTATTTCTCCAGCTAACTAGCTAGCTAACTTTTACAAAAAGAAAAAAAAAACAAAAAAAAGCTATTTATTGAAATGCGAGTTTGAGTAGCTCTTTAAAAACCTAGCTTATAAACTAGTTTGTAAGATTTTTTTTGACATTGAGAAAATAACAATTAAAAATAAAAAGTCGAATTGTGACGTGTCAAAAAGAACCTTCGTATGTCATCTTTGTCCTACTAGTTTTTAGCAAGCCTTTCACAATAATATTCGTTAAAAATGAACAAAAATAATAACGTTTATCAATATTGGTAAAACTCAGTCGAAGTTTAAAGTTCCAAATAATCGAACATGCATCTTCATATGGTTTGATAATCCAAAATAATACCTCCAATGTATGGAACCAATACTATGTAAATGAGAATCAACAATAATTAGTAAAAATATTGATATTAAGACAACATCACCAAGATTTTTTTAGAAAGCCCAAAGCATGAAGACCATGGGCAGAGTAAATTAATCATCAAGAGATTCAAAAATCATATATGATATTTACGATCCAAAGAAAATGGAGAAATACAAGCGTTTAAGGCCTGATTTTGATGGAATTGAATTTTAAGTGAAAAATGGTCTTAAATCCCTGTGACTGCCTATAACGCGAATTGAAAGGTCGTGATGATGTCGTGCCGATGAGATTGTGGAATGTAGATCACACGAGGAAGCCGTACAGTATATCTATATGGAGGAGTCTTTGTGTTCAGTTTAGCGAAATTGGGCGCTTGATTGAAATCGTGTGGCTGTCTTATCGCAGAAGAAATGTAGTATTATATATATAGAAAAAGATGTGAAATAAACACCATTTTTGAACACTTGTGAGATCGATGTAGAAAGTTTGAAGTATGTGATTTTGAGCACCTTATAATAGTACATTAATAAACGAAGGTGGTATTATAATTACAAAAGAATGGATGCCTTTCACTGATAATCAAGGGAACCCATGAGAACTTTTTCGCGAACGAAATGGATGTCGATCTCAATATGCTTCTTGCGTTGGTGCTGAACCGGGTTTTGAGTAAGATATACAGCTGAAATGTTGTCACAATAAATAATCATTGCCTGGCGAAGCGGAAGATGGAGCTCGAGGAGTAAGTTGCGTAGCCATGTAGTTTCAGCTGCGGCGTTGGCAACGCCTTTGTACTCGGCTTCGGCACTGGACCGGGAGATAGTTGGTTGTCGTTTGGACGACCATGAAACGAGATTATCACCGAGAAATACACAGTAGCCGGATGTGGACCGTCGAGAGTCGGGATATCCCCTCCAATCTGCGTCGGAGTATGCAGTGAGTTTTGTAGATTTGGAGGGAGAAATATGGAGTCCATGATGACGGGTGCCTTGGAGGTATCGTAGAATACGTTTCAGAAAGTTAAAATGTGGATCGCGAGGGGCATGCATAAAGAGGTATACTTGTTGGACAGCATACGCAATGTCGGGGCGAGTGAAGGTTAAGTACTGTAATGCTCCAGCGAGGCTGCGATATAGAGTCGTGTCTGGCATTAGGTCGCCGGCAGGTGTGCTGAGTTTAGAGTTAGTGTCGACAGGAGTGGCATAAGGTTTACATTGTTGCATGTTCGCCCGGTGAACAATATCATCCACATATTGTTCTTGGGTAAGAAATAATCCTCCATTTTGATGTTTCACTTGGATGCCGAGGAAGTGATGAAGTGGCCCAAGGTCCGACATAACAAACTCTTTGGATAATAGAGTGATGAAGTGTCGAAGAGTTGCGTCGTCAGAAGCGGTCAAGACGATGTCATCCACATAAAGAAGAAGATATGCCATTTTTGTGCCTCGTTGGAAGACAAAAAGAGAGGTATCACTTTTGGTGCTTTTAAAACCGCATGTGTGAATGAATGTTGCAAAGCGATGATACCAAGCTCTCGGGGCTTGTTTAAGCCCGTATAAAGATTTTCGTAACCGACAAACATGTGTTGGGTGTTGTGGGTCCGTGTAACCAGGGGGTTGGAACATATACACGGTCTCGTTGAGATTCCCATGTAAGAATGCATTCTTTACATCTAGTTGGTGTATAGGCCATGATCGGGAAACGGCAAGACTAAGAACTGTGCGGATTGTGGAAGGTTTTACTACGGGACTGAATGTTTCATCGCAGTCTACTCCGACTTGTTGGCATTTTCCATTAATCACTAAGCGTGCTTTATATCGTGCAAGCGTCCCGTTTGCATGAAATTTGTGCCGGTATATCCACATACAACGTATGACATGAGCCTCGGGGGGACGAGGTACAAGTTCCCATGTGTTGTTATCTATTAGAGCTCTATGTTCATCGGTCATGGCGGAGTACCAGTTTGGATCAGATAGGGCATGTTTGTGGGATTTGGGAAGAGGTGAGATGGTGGAGGTGTTGGTGTTGGTGTTGGTGTGAAGGTTGAGTGGTGGGTTTGGTTTGGTGATTCCAGCTTTGGAGCGGGTGGTCATGGGATGACAGGATGTAGGTGGGGGTGGCGGAGGTAGAGGGGTTGGTTGGGTTCGCCGGGAGTAAGTAAATGGGTAGTATGAGGGTGGGGGAGGGGTAGGTTGGGACGAAGTGGTGCCGGGGGTTTGGTTGGAAGAGGGAGAGGAAAAAGTGGTTTCGGTGGGAGCGGAGATTGATGTGGTTGGTGGGTGGAAGAAGAGAGGAGAGGGTTCTGTTTCAAGGAAAGAGTAATTGTGTGGTGGGTTTAGTGTGTGAGATGCATAAGGAAAAGAAGTTTCATCAAAGGTTACATGTCGGGAGAGAATGACTTTACCCGTGGACATGTCAAGGCATCTATATCCTCGGTATTGGGCTGGGTAACCTAGAAAAAGACAAGGTGTAGACCGAGGTGCTAGTTTGTGTTTGCGGGTGGCGGTTAGGTTGGGAAAGCAGGCACAACCAAAGGTTCGTAGGTGGTTGTAAGTTGGATGTTTGAGGTAGAGGACGGAGGTAGGAGTTCGGTTGTCAAGTAATGGAGTAGGACGTATGTTGTGCAAGTAGGTAGCAGTATGAAGGGCCTCGACCCAAAAGGAAGGTGGTAAAGAAGCATGGGTAAGTAAGGACAACATGATTTCGTTTATGCGACGGATCATTCGTTCTGCTGTGCCATTTTGTTGAGAGGTGTGTGGGCACGAGAAGCAAATGTGAAGACCGGTGGTGGAAGCAAAATTATGGAAGTGGTGATTGTCGAATTCACCGCCCTTGTCACATTGGAAAGTTTTGAGGGTGATATTGAATTGAGTGTGGATATATTTGCAGAAGGCTTTGATTTTGGGAAAAGTTTCTGATTTGTATTTTAAGGGAAACACCCATGTAAAATGGCTGAAATCGTCAATGATGATGAGGTAGTATTTAAAATTAGTTTTGCTGTGGATGGGTGAGGTCCAAAGGTCAGCGTGAACTAGATCAAATGGTTTGAGAGTGAAAGATGTGGAGTGTTTGAATGGTAGGCGTTTGTGTTTAGCAAGTTGGCAAGAATGACAAACTGATAAACGATCATTTTTATTGCAAGAAATATTTTTATTTTGACTAATAAAATTTATTACATGATGACCCGGATGACCGAGTCTAAAATGCCAAAGAGGCGAACTAGAAGAAACATAAAAGGATGAAGCTGTAGTGTTGACTTGTTTGGTGAAGGGGTAGAGATTGTCGGAACTTTCGTGTCTAGAGAGGTGCTTCTTGGTCTTGTAATCCTTTATAGAAAAACCAAAGGAGTCAAATTCAACAGAAAATGAATTATCATGACAAAATTTACGAACAGATATAAGATCTTTAACGGTATGAGGTGTGTGGAGTATATCTTTCAGATGAATAGGTTTGGATGGATGGGGTAATGTTGTATGACCTGATCCAATAACTGGTACTTGATTTCCATTTGCCACAAACACATATTTAATAGAAGACAAACTATGGACCGAGATTTTACCTTCGTTGGCTGTGAGATGAGATGTAGATCCGGTGTCCATGTACCAATCATTTTCTTGGTCCAGAGTCATAGCTAAAAAGGCAGCCCCGAGTTCCGAATGTTCAAGTGGGTTTACTTCTGTAAGATTGGCTTCAGCTAGTGGTTGCCGTGGTTGCTGCTGGGCAGAAGAGGTAGGCCAGGGAGAAGCCCATCCAGCTTGAGTGGGATATGGACAAGGTGGTGGTGAAGCCCAATATGGGTGGGCCCAGAATGGTGGTGGGTATCCGGCCCAGGTAGGGCGTGTTTGATTGGACATAGGGCTTCTGCGATTATTTGACTGGGTTTGTGTTGGCCGACCAGAAGACGTATAACCAGGTCGAGAAGGAGATGCAGATACAGGTGCTCGACGATTTGTGTTGCGTTGCTGGTTAGGGCGGCCTCTGTTTCCAGATTCGCCACGTCGGAAATTAGAGTTTGCTGGTGGGTTGTGTTCAACAGCAGCAACGATCTCTGTGGATGAGTGTGAGTCTCGAGCACGTTGTCGCTGGGTTTCAAGTTGAAGCATGGAGCACGTGGTATCCCATGGAGGTAGGGTCTGATTGATGTAGGCGCCGACTGTGTCAAATTCAGATGGCAACCCGCGGATAAGTTGAAGAACCAAACGTTTCTCGTTGACAGGGCAATCGACGTCATTTAGTTGACTTGCCAGATCTTTGAGACGTTGGCAATAAGCTTCAAGGGACGACATTGCTCGAAGGGTAAGGTTTGTGAACTCGTGTTCAAGAGCAGCAGCACGAGATCCTTTGTTGTTGAGGAAGATATTCTGAATTTTGAACCAGGCTTCATATGCTGTAGAGTCCGGTTCAAGTACTCGCGCAAGGAGATCATCTGAAATCGTTCCATAAATCCATTGGAGGACGATGGCATCAATCTCTGACCAGTTTTCATAGGTCGGGTCAGTCTTGGATGGAGGGTCGGAACCATCGATATGGGCAAGGACTCTGTAACCTCTAGCATGAAGTTTGAACAAGCGAACCCATGAAGAGTATGATACCTTGGTACCATCAAGGGTGCGGATCTTGTTCTGTATGTTCGTGACCGTGTAGACGGGATGGAGGGCTTTGACAGGAGTTGGGTCTTGTTTGTCTGACATCGTGAATAGAGAGGATGATCAGAAACAAAGTAAAGATGTCCAGCTGTAGCTGCGATGGCAGGGAGAGATTTTGGGGTAAGGAGCACTTGGCTCTGATACCATATAATTACAAAAGAATCGATGCCTTTCACTGATAAAGGAGGGGATTAAATACCCAATGTACAGAGAGATTACAGGAGGAAATTGGGGAAAATCTAGGCTAAATAAGGAAGTAGTAATCTACATTAATTACACAGTAAATATAAGATCGGAAATATACAGAAGGTGTATATTTTGGTTAATAGGTATATGGATTAATGGATATATAGATAAAAAAAATTTAAATGTGGTGGGATGTCAAGTCCACCAAGCAAATTACACCCTTTGTTTGCAAATAAAACGTAATATAATGGTAAAAAGGGGTATCGATCCTCGGGGAAATGGTTGTATTCAATCACCAATGCAATCTAAAAGAACTATTGTAAATAAACTAACTAACTACAATTAAACTAAAAGGGGGGGGGGGGTGTTATGATTGCTTGAAAACTAAAAGACTTGAATAACTAAAGACTTGCAATTAAGCAAGATAGTGAGATGCTCAAATGTTGGGAACAATTGGTCAACCAAGGCAATTCAACACAATGAACATTTGTGTGCTTATCATTAGGATCCAACATGAAGCTTATCATTCATCCCAAATTGGTTATAGCAATCATGAAGCATGATATGCCAAGATTCCTCTTAGGTAGTATGGAGGTTGGGGAAGCCCACAACACACCTTCTTAATCAAGATCAAGGGTTTAATTGAAGCAATTGAACCCAAAAAGTTAATTAGCCTTAAGAGAGAAGGAATCCCCAATTCCTAGAGGATGTCAATGCTTACACGTCCATAAAGGAGCTATGATTCATAAACTAGAGATGATTTTTACCATCATAAAGCCCTTGTTCTAAGTTAATTCAATGATTCGATGCAAAACCAAAGAAATAAACCAACAATAGCTCATTCAAGTGCCAAGCTCATGATCAAAGCATTAAACAAGCATAAGAAATATGATCTAGAACCATAAACATAAGATAATTGATAATCTAGCATGAATCCTTCAAAAACCCACAAACATTCAAAGGTTTTAACCAAAGTTAACCAATATAAAGAGTTTAACCACTCATGGCAATAGAACAACAATCACAAAAGTCTAATTGCATAAAGAAACTACCAAAAATCTTGGAAAGATGAAGAGAAATGAGTCTTCAGCTTCAAAAATCGCCTCTCTCAGCTCTCCAATGGTGTCAAATCAAAGTTATGGCTGCTAGATCTGATCCCCCAAGGTTATGGCAAGCCAAATGACCAAAATGCCCAAAATGGGCAGTTGCACGGGTACCCGCGCGACGAAAATTCCACCCGCACAAATGTTGTTGTGATGCTATTGGTCCTTCATTCCACCACTCCACCCTTCCACTACCAAAGATTCCTTTGGTCCCCTCTATATCCATGAGATTTAAATCAACCAATCATCTTTTAGCTTCAAATATGGATGCTCCAAACCCAAATTAGTTATCCATGATCCATCTTCACAAGTCCACTTCATCCAAGCCTTCAATTCTTTAAGGCCCAATTCTTCTCTTATCGATCCGCCAAGCCCAATAGCGCCTCGAGAACCCACAAATCCGTCTTCACTGTAATCCACAATCGCAATAAGCTCCAAAACCCTGCAGAATTCCTCATGCAGCATAAAAAGCACCCGGTACGATCCATACTAAAGAAAATAAAGAATATACAATGCAATACTAATAAAAAGAGCTAAAAAATCTAAAATAAACTAATAAAAATAAGGAAATAAAATAAGCTATCAAATCACCCCAAGCTTAAACCTAACTTGTCCTCAAGTTAGAACAAGACTAAAATGAGCTCGGGATGAGCTAAACTAAAAAGGAAAAAGAAAGGTACCATAGAACTTGGTCAACATCAGTCAACATGGTCAGAATTAGTCCTTCATGGACCCTACGCATCTTCAAAATGTTCCCCGCTTTACAGCCATAAACCACATTCTCAACCACTTGATGGGCGAATAGATCACGGCTGGATGTAGTCGCGGTGTGCAAGACAAAGGAAACAGAGATGCGCCCAGTGGGGGCACTTTAAATCACCAATGCAGATCATAATGCACGAAGGAAAGGCGCCTCTTCACACACTATGATTCCTACATTTGTCAGGCTAAAGTGTATAGTACGAAATAGGGCTTTGCAGCGCGGCCTCCGGGCAAACATCCGGTTTCAGAGGTTTCTCCCTTGTACTGTCCTTTACAGTCTACTGTCTCATCGTCAAGGCCTTTTCTCACCAAAAATCAAAAAAATTAAATAAAATAATAAAAAATTCTACTTAACCTAAACTTAAACCTAACAGCTTAAATCTTCAATCTTGAACTTCTGTTATTTGGTCTTCAGCCTCTTTGTTGTTTGATATTCAACCCTTTTTTTTTGAACTAAAGCCTTGAACTTGGATTCTTGTTCTTCTTTTTGTGTTGCTCTTTTTCTTCATTTTTTTCTTCTTTGATTTTGTTGCTTTTCTTTAATTTTTTTTTTTCACTTTTCCAATTTCTTCATTTTTTTTGTGTTTTCTTCTTTGAAGGTCTAAGGAATTTCACCATGTAACATAGGATGGAGGCTAACATGAACACCTAATGATCATTGACAATGTGCCAAGATCAACTAAAAATGGTGGGGAATGACTCAAAAAATGGGTGTTATCGAAAAGACTTGGTCCCAAAAAATGTGAATTGGGGGACCCACTTCAAAGTTCATCAAGCACCTCAATGCAAGGTGTGATAAACAAAATCTATCTAACTATCTACTCTAGACTCCTAAAAAAAATAACCTATCTTAAAAAGGTGGTAAGAATCTAACTAAGTAAGGCTCGGACGAGACTCGGGAGTACTATGGGGTACTCCCCCCAAAACCAAGATGCGAGTCTTCAATATCTTCAATGTACCTTACCGGGCTAATCTTTGCTCGCACACATCGGTTTGACCAACCACATCCCTCCGCACCTAGACCCAATCAAGCTACCTGCATCTGACCCCCACACAAGCGGTCTTAAAATGGTCTGTGAGGCTCAAAACGTGTCCCACTTATCAAATACAAGGAATTCCATATCAAGACCCGGGACCAATCTATGATTCAATACTTATGACTCGGTGCTCTGGTACCTGTTAAGATGAGAAGACAAGAGAGAACAAAAATGCATGAACTTAAACTAGAATGCATCTAAAAAGTATGAAAATTAGAAAAGAAAGAAACAAAATATGCAATATTTTTGAAATTTTTATGCAATTTTTATGAATGACCTAAATGAGTTACTCTAAATGCAACTATATACAACCTAAATGCAATAAAAATAAAAATATAAGAATACCTCACCCCAAGCTTAAAATTAAGCATTGTCCTCAATGCTTAGGATGAGAGTAAGGAAGGATCATACCAGGATCAAGGTGGAGGAGGCCCACGAGGGGGGTAACCGTCGTCGGGCCGAAAATGATACCAAAGATCCTCCATATAGTTGTTGGCGCGGGCTTGCTGCTCCTCGATGCGGCGAATGGCCGCTGTATTCCGATTGCCCTGGAGGCGCAAGGAAGCAAGCTGACTGTAGATATCAAGAGGAAACTCATGTTCGGGATCGGGATCATTGTGCTGCGGTTGAGAGTGGTACTCATGTTGTGGCTCAAAATGTGCTCCCGAAGGCTGACCATAAAGGGGTGGTGGCAATTGTTGGATCGGGAGGTCATAATGGTCTTCGGTTTCAAATGGACTACCAGCATTGGAATGGTCGACCTGCATTTCATCATCATCGTCTAACTCGCCAGGTAAGAACCAAGTTTCAGGGTCGCTGGTGGAAAAGGCGGAGATGCTAGGGTTAGGTAAGATGTAAACTGGGTCTTTTACATGATTGAGCCAAGAATAATGGTTAGGACGGGTAGGATGAGGTGTCAATAATTCCATCCGGGTGAGAGTGATGTAGTCAAGGAGATAGAGAGGTGGGTCATCCACTGGCACATACTCAGACTCGGGAAATTGAAGGCCCACACCCAAACCAATTAGGGTAATGAGACCTTCAATGCAAATGTCGCCAGTGGTCTTCATGCGAATGCTGTCACATTTATCCAGAAAAAAGGTGGTGAAACCGGGCAAAGACCAACGCCGATGGCTCATGCAATAGAGGAAATAGAGCTCGACTGTGTTGATTTGTCCCGGCTCGTGACGGGCAAAGATGGAAGTTGAGAGGATCCGGTGGGCAATTCTCCAACAAGGATGGATGATGTAAGTATCTTTTTGTCGACTTGGATTAAAGTTTGGAAGACTTGTGATTTGAGTCCAAAACTCTATTTTGGGCGAGCTCTTGAATTGAGTCCATTGATAGCTATAGATGTCGGTGTTGTAGTTATCGTATGTGCCCATGATAGTGTTTAGGGTGTCGTATGTGAGTCGGTGCTGTCGACCCTGGAGTTTAAATGTGAGCACCCCTGCCGTGTCATCCCGTGCATAAGTGGAAAGGAACTCTAGTGTGGGTTGTTTGTATGTACGCGCGGAAAGAGCGAGGAACTCGTGCCAACCGATGTTGAAGAACAGCTGTTTCAGGCAATCGTCAAGGCCAAGGTACGTCATTGAGTCTTGGTGGTAAAATTTGGTGGCTCGAATTGCACGTTTTTGGAGGTTTGACTTGAATTGTTTGATTTGCGCGCTAGTGAGGACAAGGTTGCCCTCACGATCGGTATTCTCGGTTGACGCTTTTTGTGTGGATCGTGAGGATGAAGCCGCACGGGAAGAACCATGAGAGGCGTGAATGGTTTTGTCCCTTGCCATTGTACCTGTTAATAAACCTAGCAAACACAAAAACTTGGCCAAAATTATCCCTCAAACTCGCCTCACACCAATCCAAACAAACTAAATAATAAGAATATAAACCGGGCAAATATTCCAAATTTGCAATTTGGTACAATTCAATGCAATTCGATCAATTCAAAGCAAAC